AGAGAGAGAGAGAGAGAGAGAGAGAGAGAGAGAGAATCGAGACAAATGCGCGATACACTCATTACTTAAAATTTGTTCGAATAAAAAGCTGCTATGAAGCTATATTATCCAGCGAGTTACGAATAATGTGAACGATGTATATGAGGATCATTAAATTTATCATACAAAGATTCACTTAAGAATATTATAATTATTATTATATTATGTTACTATATCAACATTACTTCATCGAGAAGGAAGATGAACGAAACGTTACGTAAACATTCGTTAATTTTGCAATACAACAATTTAAAAAACGACCATATGTAAAGCAAATTGTCACATCTCGGGCAATCGTCTGTCTCTAATAGCATTGTTTCTATAATATTCTAAATTACAAACTTCTATATTGATTGACATTTATTAAGTCACAAGTATCGAATATTCAAATTCTTATCGATGGATATAATTAAATATCAAATACTTTATATATTTTATAACAAGATAAATGATTGGGACGATCGAAAAATCAAACAATTGCAAAAAAGACAGTAAGATATCGATTCTATATCGAAATATCTTTAATCATCCTCTTTTGTTGTAAATATTATTGCAAAATTTATTGGCCATAGGAGAGAAAGAGAGAGAGAGAAAGAGAGGAAACATTCCTTAATTTTTTTATACGTATATATTCCATCTTTTATAACATTTTGTAAATTACTTTATAGGCTTCGTAAATGTACATGTCCATCTGCAAACAGGCAATAAGACGTTCTCTTCGAATTTAGTGCTCGTGCTATAATTTAGCATTGCTTTTCTTTTAACAGTAATGTTTGGAACGGAGGCACAATAGAGGCTTTTTAAATGCCGTATTCCCAGGTTCAAATCCCATGTAAAATTCATTCAATGCTCTATAATTAATAAAACAATCAAACGATATTAGAACGCCAAAGTCCAATTCCGCTGTCTCTTTGTAATGATTGTGTGATAAAGTTACACACATACTATTTTCTATAATTGCAGGTTGTTAGGCGAAACTGATACTTGCAGTTTCGTGATTCTGGTAGTGAAACTACCCTCACTGCTCGTAGGTACCGCGTATGCTATTATTCTTAGCGAGTTGTTGTATTACACTGTGATAGTGACGCCGTAAGAGTACATTATTGTATTATCTGTCGTTCGATCTCGTTCTCGGCGAATAAAAGGAAAAAAAAACAGAAAAGAAAAAGTATCGCATTGAATATAAGATGTACCTGTAAAGACACGATTTTTTCTACAACGCGGTACAATATTGCGTTGCAACAGTCAAATTCCACGACCTCGAGCTGGTAACAATCGTTTCGATCTACGCCTTGTAAAACATTTCGCGCCACTTTTCCAAGTTACAATTTCTCTGACAATATACAATACAAGAGATCCCTAACAGCAATATCATTCGAATAATCTGTACTTTTATAGAATATCCTAATATATTGGCAACATCCCTGTAATATCTTATACTTTGCGATATCTTACAAATATTCTCAGAATCTGCATGTGCTGTTAGGGAGCTATGGACAAAGTCACCCAACGTTGCGTTGCGTTGTGTTTCCGTTGCGTTACACTGAGATTCTTGCTGTAGAATGAATGCGTAAGAGCTTATTCGTATTCTTCAAGGCTACCGTACGGGGTATCTTCCGCTGACGAATGCGAGAATCTGTACCAACGTCCTCAGCACAATCTTACAAAGTTTTCGCGTCCTGCCGCGCGGCGGACGTTCAATAGATTTTTATACGGATACGTAAAAGAACCTATGACAAAAAAAGAAGAGACGAAAAAAGAAACTTATATCTCGGGCGTGCAAATTTTTCCTACATATAAAATACATAAAGCAGCATTTTACCAAGATTATACACAAACCTATACGGGTCGATATTCAGCGCTGTACCTTTATCAGATAATATTGTAAATATACATTGAACACGATAAACTGTTCCCTTAATCCTGAGTTACCTTTTTTCTTTTACTGATCTATCTGCAGCGCTTGCTAAGTTCTAATAAGTATATTAATACGTAATGCGCAAGTTGATAAGTAAAATATATAACTCACAAATAGAAGATGTGTATGACGGAGAGTGTGGTATATAATAGATCGACATCACGTTTCGTTATTTCTGAAAGATTTTTCCTTTCTATTTTCTCCCGTTTTAGTCTCGAGCGATATTCTCTCCATTTGCTCCGATTTCCTGCTTGCTTAACGCGAGAACTTTTATCTCTTCATTCTTATCTTCTCTAGGGTGAGAAGATATCTCTCGTACGAAGCAACAACAAAACGCCGTTACAACTTCAGGATGTGAAATGCGTTTTAGATTTGATGTGTCGACTTAATTTTCCAAACTATCTGACATCTTAACAGCGTAATTAATATACGATAATAATATGTTAATGTTTTTGCTGACGTGTTAAAATATGAGATATATACAAATAGAATTCCTATTATATTACTTTTTTATTGTAAAAGAAAATAATCTCTTATATTTACCTTAATCTGAATATTTGTAAGATGCCACTCCTTTCTCCATCCTTGCACACAGGTTGGATGTCCAACTCGATCGGATTATAAAAATACATTGATAAAAGGTTTCGGTTGCACTTTGTATATTTTATTACTTCACGGGAGGATCGAACGAGTTGATGGTACATGTGATAATTGTAACATGTTATAAACTATATATGGTCATTATGTGCAAAAACGTAATGTCAGATCGTATCTTTATAGCATAGAGATATTGTAATTCCGATGCGATTGCTAGGAGGTCTGTGGTCAAGTCTTGGCCATTAGCTGGTGCACTGCCAGCTGGACACGTAGCTCCACACAAGCGTCTTTCTCCTCGATAATGCTACGTATCAACGTCGTCATCTTCTTCTGCAACGAGAGAAACGTATAAATGTACACAAGTCAGAAAGCTGAGATAAAGGAGCATACCTCGAGTAACTGATTCTCTTTGACTAGCTGTATCATGGCGGTCATTTCAGCTTCATTAGGAGAATGTATTCTCTCTTTAGGTTTCTTCTTTTCTTCTTTCGTCCCGCACTCCGACAGCGTCTCCGTCAATCGTCTGATTTCATTCCTCTCCTGATTTATGCGCGACTTGAGTAATGCTTGCATGTTCAACAGTTCCTCGTGGATCAGCTTTTCTCGCAATTTATCTATGACATCCTCCTCTTCGGGGTCTGCATACAGATTAGCGATACAATATATTTAGCTTGAGAAAGTATTGGAAACTATATGCTATTGATCGTTGTGTACCGTTTGTTTTTTCATTCGGTGTTACATTCTCAGATTCTTGCGGCGTAACCGTTGCAACCTCACCCGCGGAGTCAACCGTATCTTTCTCTTGCGCATTTACACTTTGTTCATTTTGCGTAACATTCGCACTGGCGCCTGCCGAGCAAGAGCACTTCTCTTTTGCCTCTTCTACATTATGCAGTTTGCTGTCTTTTTTTATCAACGCCGGGTTAGTTGACGGTTGAGCATCACCGGGTATCACCTGCGCGGGATCTTCGTCCACAGTCTTTGGCTTCTGCGAGATAGATTCTATTGGAATACTATCGGCTGACTTTATTTCTTCGTCCAGACTCTTTTGTGTAGCGCCTTCCAATTTTTGAACAGTTTTACATTTTCTCTGTAAAATGTAACGCGTTGTGTCAATGTGCTCTTTATATAGTGGGAATTGTGGAGACATTTTTGTACCTTTAATTGCGTTATCATTCGTTGCACCTCCCACAATTGTTCCTCGCGAGATTTCGTTACAAAACCGGCATTCATCTGCATGTGAATTTGGGAAAGTAACGACTCCTGCTTGGACAGCTCTGCAGCTATACCCTCTACGGAATCTGGCAGACTGGTACTGCCGGATGATAACGGTGGTACATACTTTGTCAATTGTATATTTGGGAACAAAGCCTTGCAGTGGAACAATAGAGCCAACAGCAATCTGTGACTCATTTGTAGAACCGGACTTAATGTCATCGAGATCGTCTGTGCATTCATCTTTGTTGTTTTCTCCTAGAGTTAAATTCATTGGAAATCAATTGAAATATTAATTGAAAAAGCGTTTATTTTAAGAAAATAGTGTAAAAAATTGATATTGAAAATTTGTGCCGTCCACACAATCAAATTTTCAATAAAATTAGAATGCTATCCAAAGTTAGATTGAGAAATCTTTATCTTTACCCATACAGCACAGATGGTTGCAGTTACATTGCAGAAACGTTGCAATCTTGCAGAGACATTGCAGGGATATAAAATTGCAAACTTTCGATAGCAATATTGCAGCAATGTTTCAAAAATAGTAAAAATACTATATTTTCTATTTAAAAAATTTTTCTTATTACGAGAATTTTATAATGTTATTTTCGTTGATACCAATAATGCGCGAATTATTAAGTACTTGATCAATGCGGTGTTGCTTGCAATCTCCATCCATTGCGAAGCGACATAATCTCCTTAGGTTGCTTCGCAATAGCTTGCTGTGCATTGAAAAAGGCCCGGATGCATATGTAATTAGTAAATTCTCTGCTTATTTACAAGAAATTATTCCAAAAATATTGCACTGCAACATTGCTATAATATTGCACTGCAATCCCTCTGGGGGCAGACATTTCAACGTTGCAGCAATGTTGCTGCAATATTGCAATCTTGCAATGTAACATTTATGCAATCTTCCTGCAATCTTTCTGTGCTGTGTGGGTAGAGAGATCTAACGATAAGAACGATTTTAAAGTTCTTGATCTGAGTTTTGTGTCAAATTAGTACTATTTGGAACGTACTCGCGCCGTAACATTGTCCAAGTGTAACGTAACCCATGCCAAGAGAATCCTGTTGCATTCCGGCAATTGCTGCGCTAGCTGAGCCATTTGTGCCTCCCGCTGCGCAACATCCTTGGTTGACGCGGCCTGCTCGAAGCGCGATATCGTTTCGCTGTTCTCCAGGACGGACTCTGGCAGCTCTCTACATCACCACAATGCGCACTTTTTCGTTTGATCTTAAAACACATGGTAAGAAAGAGGATAGAATTCGCAGGTATACAAACCTAAGAAAGAGTATCAATAAGCTCGTAGCTACCGTGGGTTCAAACTCAGATATATTCACCGGCTCCCGGTTATTATACAATTTTTTCAAGTGTTGAACCTTTGATTTCACCCCAGGGACTTTGTACAGGCCCTCTACGTTCATCCCATGCTCTTCCACGTAATCTATGCAATCGCGTACCACCAAGGGTAATTTGACTCCGTCATGGCAACAACTTCTCTCAATCGCTAGGTGAAGACTGATGCCAAAAATCGGTTGTTCCTCTGCAGAATATAATATGTGTGTATCCAGGAAATGTTGAACAAGTCAAGTTATACAGGAGAGATCCCATATTATGAGGTAGACTACTAATATAAGACAGCGGGGTTTCTGCTAAACTAATAAACGCCGTTAGTTGGTCCCACTATAAACTTATTACTTTTGAAGTGAAAATTATCTAGTGAAAAACCCATTGCTCAATCGTGCATGTACCCATACAGCACGGAAATATTGCAGCAACGTTGCAGAGACATTGTTTTGAAAGATTGCATCATTGCAGCAAAATTGCGAAATGTTGCTGCAATATTGTAGCTACATTGCAGTAACATTAGAATGTCCGCCTTCAGCAATATTTCAATGCAACAGTGCAGCAATATTGCAATGCAACTACGCAGCAATATGAAAATGCAAGACTGCAGCAATATTGCAATGTAACAATGTAGCCATAATATTGCAGCAATGTTTCAAAAATAATGAAAATACTATTTCTAAATAAATTGTAGAAACATTGCTGCAATATTGCCATCGAAAGTTTGCAATTTTATATCCCTGCAATGTCTTTGCAAGATTGCACTGCAATCTGCAAGATTGCAACGTTTCTGCAATGTAACTGCAACCATCTGTGCTGTATGGGGCTTTTTCATTATATTTGTATTTTACAAACATTTAATAAGCTTCTAATTGTAATACTTGTGCATTTTGCATTTTATTAGCAATTTCTTGGGTCTTATTTTTCCTATTTTTCTAATTAAATGAGCTATTATATCCTTTAATTGTGCCTATAGATTTCCGGCAATTACAAAAAATGAATTCGGTATCTCACACACGGCGACTCTCCTCTATTAATTGCACTTGTACTGAATTACGATCCTACCGCCAATATCCAATCCCTCATGTTTCCCTTTCTTCCGATCCTTTAGTTTCTGCTTGGATTTGTCTTTATCCTTGTCCTTCCGCTTTTCCTTATCTACATCCTTCTCATCCTTTTCCTTCTTCTTCTTATCCTTCTCCTTCTCAGCGTCCTTTTCCTTCACCTCCTTCTCCCTTGATTTTTCCCGTTTCTCCTTTTTAGATGGAAATTTAAAGGCTTTGGTCTTTTTCGACTTCGAAGGACTTCTGCACAATGATCTACATGTTAGTGTTGGTATTGTACAAGTCATTGAATAAAATCACCTCGCGCACTCACACACATACAGAGGGATTTACAATCGATAAACATTTTGTACATATGTAATAAAGGCTCTTGTGATAAAATAAATGTTCACTGAGCAGATCAAGATTAGTATGAGCAACAGTATCAAGTTGTAAATATTCGAAACGAGTCTGTTTTCCATCTACAAATCAGAAATCAGGCTCGGCGATACAAGAGACAGCCAATGCAGCGCAAACGACAAGTATGGAACAACAGCGAGCGGGTGGCCGTTAATTCTAATTATCGAGTATTAGTAAACAGCGCAGCCTCATTCGTACGCCTCTGATAAACGTCAGACGAAAGGATCCGTTAATCGCGCGTTACATTAGCACTCATTTGCTATTCAGGAGATGCCAAGTGACGAGGTAAAAGAGATGGGAATCGCACAAGTGTTTCGACACAAATATTACTTGGTTTCCTGATCCTCGTCCGGCGAACTCTCACCCTCTAGGGTCGCGTAACCTCTGTCCTTCCTGTCCTTCTTGTCCTTGCGCTTGCCGCCCAGGAGCTCCTTCTTGGAATGCTTGTCGTGGCTGCCCTCGTCGCTGACTGCGGTACAAAAGTCACCATAAATATCACATCAGTGAAATGACAGCGAGAGAGGTAAATGTGCAACATCTGCGATTAAATTTTGACAGATGACATAGCCTCTCTCCCTCTCGCACAACACGCGCGCTCGCACGCGATGTCCAATCGCGTCATCAAGTACGAGTAGAGCGTGGCAAACATTACGTACAGTCGCTCTCATTACTCTTCCTCGCCGATTCGGACGCGTACAACCCGGGAAATTCCTTCTCAACGTCCGGGCTCTCGAAGTCCATTCTCCTTTGTGTGCATTTGACATACAATTTGACACCTGCCCGTGTGCCAACAACTCGAGGTAGTCGAGGTATCAATCCGCTCTCGAGATATTTCGACGGTACTCGCGTATCGATATCTCGCCCTCTCGAATCGACCGTTTGAACGTCGTCCACAAAGTAGCGCGTAACAAAGGTAACATTAACTGTTTACACTGTACACAAGACATTACAACAATATAAGCGGCTCATTGTATAAAAATGTATTTTAATTTGGACATATTCATAAATATTTCTATTATTTTTTTTACAAATATTGAAGAAGCAGGATCTAAATTACATATTTATCCGATACTATATAATGTATTAGACCAGTATTGTTATTACATTATTAAATATTGACCAATGCACTTCCAATATACAGGGTGAGTCTTTCTATATCCGACAAAATTTTTGAGAAGGTAGAACGGATCGAGATGAATGGAAAAGTCCTGTACCATTTTGCAATTTTCGTAATAGTTAACGAGTAATTAATTATTAAAAATCGTTGTCTTAGGCCGGCCTACCGCCCAATTCGAGCGCGTGGCGAGATGTGCGCATAGCAATATCGATCGCCAGGCGGTCACATCTTGCCACGCGCTCGAATTGGG